CTGGATGGTTGATGATGCCTTATTGTCAGACAACGATTCCGTAGTCCTAATGGTATAACTGGTCTTTAGACTTGAGACACTAAGGATGTCCTATATGAGTGCTCCACTCTTTGATACCAGACTTATAGGTTTGGCTGTCCCAGATCTAGTACAGTTGATCATTGGGAGTGGTAGTCGACCTTACGAGGGCTATTGAGTATCGATAGAGGATCATCCACTCTCGGCGTCATGAGAGGAATATCCCATGTGTTCTTGCTCAGACAAATCCCTGGCCAGGGTCATTCGGGTTGAGAGAGAAAGAGTTCTCCGAGAGAATCCGATTAGAGCGAGACTCGAGTAGAAACCGTATGGGTCTGATAACACCATGCTCGATATACGATCTCTGGGATATTATATGGATGATGGACTATAGGTACACGGTAACTGAGGACAGACATGTCCAATGGATTGGATTCCCCTGTATCGTCTGGGGACTACGGTGTAATGGCCTAGTACGTCCGTAGTCGATGAGTCAAGTAAATTATTACAAAGATAATAATTCACTGAGTTAGAAGGAGTTCTAAGAGGTATGACTCACGGCCAGCTCGATATTAGACCTAGAGGGTCACACACATATGGTAGGCATTGCGATGAGTAGAGGTTCAGATATGAGATATCCGATGAAGCCCTTGTCTTATTAGATATCCAATAAGCCCCTGAATGATTGGATCCCATGGACGAGATCCAATAAGAGCCCTTGAGAGATTATTGTATAGAGATCCACTAATCTAAAAGGCTTGGGTTATTGGATGTAAATCCAATACCCACTAGGGGAGGATCCATTAGGGTTTGATATGGGACCTCTATAAATAGGAGGTATTCAGAGCCTCATAGGCTAGAGTCTTTGCTTGCCTCTCCTATTCTCCTTCTCCTCTCCACCTTAGAGCATGCCTGGAGTTTTGAGGAGCGTTGTTGTAGTCCTGTTATGTGGATCACCGCTAGAGAGGAGGACGCTTGACCTCCTTCACCCTCTTCTAAGGATCTGCAAGGAAACATGGATATACGATCTCCATAGGTAACACAATCTATTCTATACGCAGTTTTTTCAGTTTCGCGAATTTTGCGCACCAATCTTCGCACAACGACGAACATCTCTTTGGGAATTAGGGATTTTGTTTTCTTGTTCTTCCGCTGCGCATGTGATGTTGCCCCCAAAGATTTTCCCAACACTTTGACAAAGCTACTGATTGACTCTCTATTAATGACTATAAGAGGCAAGAGGGCCTTAGCCCTATCATAAAGGTTTATATTATGAGTGACATATGAGTATCTAGCATGCCTTGGATCTCACTCGTGAACTGAATGATGAAGTTTGCGACTATTTTTTCCTTCCCTTGCTTAAGTCCAATAAGTATTGCCATCGATAGTCTCGAGCACACATTCCTAAGGAAGTGAATTTTGAACTCTCTCGCTTGCTAGACAAAAGAACTGATGGAAAGTGGCTTCAAGCGAGCATACTATTTTCATGCTAGGTCTCTAAGTGTGGTCAGGAGGGTACGATACATTAGGATATCTGAAGTACCATACAATGATATTTGAGCATGAAAAGTTATAATGTGCTCTTTCGAGCCAATATTGCCATCGAATGCCTATAACAATAAGCTGCAAAAGTCCATTGGATCAATTCCTTCTAAATTTTCTAGGTAAATGATGACCGACCATAGGTGAGGACAACTAGCACTTCCTTTTTGGATTGTTGAAACTTTTGTCATGTCTTATCCAAATGTTGATCCATTTGCCATAGTTGGATCTGCATAGAATCTTCATTGAATTTGTCGATTGAGTCTCAAATTCAGGTAGGATAGAATGGTGGTATGGTCTACTAAATTTTAAGGTTGTGGAGTGAAATGCCCCTTGACTGGTGGTTCAATGGGTCTTGGGCACTCCTGAGATATTGATACCACGCCGGGTTAGAGAACCTCGATGGGTGTTGGTGCCAATGGTTGAGCCGATGACTATAACTAAGTTGGTGGTTTCGCTTAGGTTAATGAGACAAAAGTGGAGTAATGATTTATATCATACTCGTTAGCATTTGTACTTGTTAAGTGAGATTTAAGAATACATCAGTAGAGACGAGCAGGTGGCTTGTGGGTCATCCCTAAGGGTGAGAGATTTAGATTATTGAATAGACGCTAATATCACATAGATATTTGCACTGAGATTGATGCATTTATGCGCAAAAAAGGTGGTTATTGCATCCCTTGAGTAAAAATACTGTTGGTCGAGAGCAAAGCCTCCTCGCTCAAGCATTCGTCATGAGGATTGGTTGGTATGTGTTTATTTGATGGCCATTCTTTTAGCATTAAAAATATTAAGAAAATAAGTCATTGATGTCCTAGTCAACTCGACATGGTTTGAACCCGTATGTGTATGGTTGTCCGAGCGAGGTGGAAATGTCGATCTCCTAAAGTGCCATATACATGATGATTGAGGTCGGAAGAGGTTTTTTGACTCGATCCCTCCGATATCTAAATTAATAATTCAAAATATTTGAGTATGAACACGAGTGGTCAAAAAGCTAACCTTATATTCATTATATTGGATATAAACTTTCATACATGATTATAAAGGGATAAGATATTTCATTGAATATTTTATAGACAATATCTAACATTCTCCAAGACCTTCTCCTTAGCCTGTTGTTCACATGAGCGATATAAGGGGCAACACATAATCGTCTAGCTTAAATCCTTACCCATGTGGGCAGATAAGTGGAGGGTGATCATTTTCTCCTTTCACCTTAGACATTATGTGATGATCATGTGTTGAATAGAGATTAACTGATTGTGTACTTGGTATTAAACTATAATTTAAAGGATTCTACCACTATAAATATTTGATCACAGTATCAATTTAATTTTTAATTTAATTTTTCCTTCAATATCCTAATTCAACATGTGGACGCAATCAAACTCAATCCAATTTAAAATATACATTATAGATTCCACAATCTCCCAACCATTAAAATATTTATCCTGCGCAAAGGCATGGGGGCACACAGCTTGCAGTAATTTAATTAGGTAGCTTATTAGGGTTCCAACCGGTGAAACATTATTGTACTCGTCCCAGCAAATGATGCAGTGGCATTGACATCAGAGTACCAAATGCCCTAATGATGGAAACGGTATCCTAATAAAAATAATACACCATCAGAAACATGACCTATCCAACGTATTCACTTGGATTCACTTCTACTAAACCCAAAACTGCAGCCTGCGTAACTCATTGACCTCATCAACCATGCCATGCTCGAAACAATGGCATCAATTACAACACACTGAAATATCCACCTGATTTCCGTAGTCAACATTGTCAGGAATGGCTCTCCCATGGCTTCAAGGCCAGCACAGCTTGAATCAGTCCTTTTCTTTGTTTGCTGGCGAGCCACATTTAATATGTCAACACACCGTGGTATGGTCTTCCACGTTCCCGTGACTTGCGTTGGTTTGGTGCGTCGCCATCCCGTATGAGATTGCAAGAAGTGCGGTACAACTCCACTAACCCGAATTTTAAAGCACTCAGAGGCATAAAAATATCTTTTATTCAACCAATGAATTATAGATTACAAAATAAAAAAAAAAGAATCGGGAAGACGTGCGAGCCGCTTCGCATCTGCGGTTCAGATGGACCGGACCGTGGTGGACCGGTCCAGGGACCCAGCCGGCGTGTCGCAAGCCGCCACGGCCCGCTCCAGCCCGTCGACGACCTCGGTCATGGTCGGCCGCTCTCGGCCCTCCGGACTCACGCAGTCGATCGCCAGGTAGCCGACGTAGGTGACCGCCTCGATCTCGCTCGGTATCGGGGGCGGGAGGTTCGGGTCGAGCACCCGGTGGATGTCGTGGGCCACGATGTGCGGCACCGCGAACTCCACTATGTTCTTCGGCGTGCCGCTGTCGTCGTACCGCCGGATCACCTTGCACCCGGTGAGCAGCTCCAGTAGCACGACGCCGAAGCTGTAGACGTCGCTCTTGGCGGTCAGGTGCTGGAGGCGATAGTACTCGGGGTCCATGTAGCCGACGGTGCCGGCGGTCCGGACCGGACCCTGCTCCTCGTCGACCGGGTTCATTAGGGAGAGGCCGAAATCGGAGACCTTGGCCGTCCATGTGTCGTCGAGTAGGATGTTGGAGGACTTGATGTCACGGTGGATGATGGGAGGGACGGCGTAGGTGTGGAGGTACTCGAGCCCGCGCGCGGCGTCGAGCGCGACCCGGAGACGCGCGCTCCACGACGCGAGGCTGGCGCCCGGGAGCTTGTGGAGCTGGTCGTGGAGTGTGCCGTTGGTCATGAACTCGTAGACGAGGACGCGCTCCGCGCCCTGCTTGCAGTAGCCCAGCAGGCGCACCAGGTTCTTATGGTTCACCCTGGAGAGGAGGGCGAGCTCGGAGAGGAACGCCGACTCCTTGTCGTGGCGCTTGTTCTCGGCCGCTGCTGATGAGGGGGCGGCGGGGGTGTTCGACGTCGAGGCCGACGTCTCGGCCCGCTTGATGGCCACGACGCGGCCGTCGTCCAGCGTGGCTCGGTAGACCGACCCGAAGCTGCCGGAGCCGGTCTTGTGGGACTCCGCGAAGTTGTCGGTCGCGGCGAGGAGGACTGACAGCGGGAATTCCTCCACCATGGGACTGCGGCCTCCGCCGACCAGCGAGCTAAATCGCCACTCGATCGGCGTGTGCGAGGTTTCCGAGCCGTGCGGCCTCGCGAGCGCTGACGGAACGGCCGGAGGCAGCGCCCCTGCCGCCGCGCTGTGCATTCCGCCCAAGTCGTGGACGCGGCCATTGCATCGACCGAAGTGGAGCAGACAGAAGCAGAACGATGCCGCAACCCCGAGGGCGAGCCCGACGGAGCCTATCACCACGAAAACCGTTCTCCTCTTGTGAGAAGTCTCGGCTCTGTTTGTCGATGGAGGAGGAGGAGAGGAAGGAGTCGGAGATGCCGTCGGATTCGATATTTTCTCGGGCTCGCATAGACGGCAGACGGCGCTTCCTCTGTCGCACAGTGTGCCGGAGCCTTCCAGGACGCCGCAGGGACAACTAGATATCGGCACGCAAGTGCCGGGCAACACGTTCGCGTAGACGACCGGATTGTGATCGAAAACGTCGCTGCCCCAACAATACAACGAGTAGTCCACCCTGAGGATCCCACAGATGGCGCTGCCCTTCGCTTGAATCGCCATGAACTGGGTGTCGTTGAGGCTGCACGGCAAATTCGACCTCTCTCCCCAGCACGTCACTCTTCCTTGGCTTCCGAGGGCGCACGTCTTGTTCTCCCCCAAGGCCAATGAGCTGATCTCGGAAGGAGTCGCTCCCATTGCTGGCGCCCCTGTTCCCCAGCAGACCAGTTTGCCTTCCCTGGACACCGCGCAGGCGTGCCGGGATCCGGCGGCGATCGTCCGATACGACCCCGTCGGCTCGTGGCCCACGACGCCGGTGTCATTTCCGAAGCACCGGATCTCCATGGAGCCCCGTAACAATCCGCAGACGAAGTCCCGGCCGACGGCGATGTCAGAGAATCTTACCCCCTCCGGGAAGACCAGCTGCTTCCATCGCCAGCAAATGGGGCGGCCTCCGGCATGGATGCCGCAAACACGCGAGTCTCCAGCCGAGAGGTCAGCGAGGGGCGGCCCACGGTAGACCCTCTTGTAGTCCCGCGACGAGCCATAGTAGTCGGATTCCTGATAGAAGCCCCACCACACCATGGTGGAGACATTGGTGGACATGCGGAGGAAACACAGGAATCCCTCACCGCCAGCGATGGCGGAGGAGGAGATGTTGCCCGACGTGTACGTGAGTTGGAGCCCCGTGGGCAGGCTGGTGCAACTAAGCTCGTACTCATCGTTGGCTATGGAACGAACCACAGCACAAACCACCGTCGCGTTGGACGCACGGGATATAGCTACCGTCGACAGAGGAGAAGCAACACTGGCCGGCAAAGAGATCGAAAGAAGGACCAGGAGGAGGAGGAATAGGAGGAGCACGAAGCTTGGAGGACGCATTGGAGGCGAAGGGCGGCAAAGAGGATGGCGTATATCATCGTAACACAGGAAGAGACGGAACGAGGAGGAATAGTGGGGGAGAGAGAAAGAGAGGAAGATGAGCTTGAAGAATTGATCTCGTCTTTCGGATCATTGTTAATTCCAAGGGGTGGGAGGTGATGGTTTTGTTGGGGTTGAAGACGGTGCAGACGCGGGTTTAGGTATGTCAGTGGCACAGACCAAGTCCATCGTGTAAGAACCTCTCAGGAGAATACTCTTTCTGAGTTCCCTTCAGCCACAAAGTCTCGTCTGACTCATTCCATACTCGATCTGTTGTCAGCTGTCTATTGTCAAAAGGACTGTGGAGAAAGGGTCGCCAATCCGATGATGATACGAAGATTTAGTCTCTCTCACAACCCGAAGATAAAAAGAGAAATGATGAGAACTTCGATAGAGAGAAATGATGAGAATCACTATTGACACAACATACTGGAAAAGAAGGATTTTGCTTTGGCTTTTGAACACAAAGAACGAAGCATGGCAAGTGATGGGATTGAGAGGATGTAAAGCAGTCGCGGTAGAAGAACTTATCGATCTCACCATCAGCAATGATAGCATCATACATGTAATCAGATTCTTGCAGCCAACAAACTGATATAGACGATGGAAATGTGGAATCTTCAAACACCAAGTAAGAAGCACTTCTGTGGCCCAAACCATACTCGAGTCTTCTCCTTGAATAGATAGGGTTGGTGGGGTTTGGCATTTTTGGTTGAGGACTTTGGAAAGGCTTGTGAGCTTCTGAAGGAAGCGTGCAGACCATGACAACCGCACATAAGACGGTGGTTGTTTAGGCCCCCCTCCCTTCCCCCACCTCTGGAGAAAACTTCACACAAAACCTGTTTGGCCTTTCCATGTTTATCTCTTCTTTTGGACAGAGAAGCCATTCTATTGATAAATATGAAATACAAAGAAGAAGATTGCATTAAGTTGAAATAATACACAATACTCCCTATTTATATATGTTAGAAGAAAAAAATTTTCTTAATAAAGAAGGAACGATATTTTCTCATGTAGTTAGGAAGATCTTGGTTATTGTTGAGGTTGTTATCACGGTCTGATACCATGATAGAAATAAAATATAGATTTACGATATTTTCTCATGTAGCTAGGGAGATCTTGGCTGTTGAGATTGTTATGGACATCTCGACTATTATCAAGCTTTCTGTATTGGGTCCTCCCATACCTAGAGAGGCCAATCCAAGAAAGATCAATCTGGTGAGGTGCAGAAACAATTGGTTTTTTGTGTCTACAAATCAATCATGAGCAGAGGGAGCAGCAAGCCAAGTTTGAAGACTCTATGTGAACATCACCAACCAAACTCAACAAGTCCAAACATGCTCAACATTTTCTTCTTCTCTTGGAGTTGTTGATAGAAAAGAATAGAATCACTAGTCTTCTATGTCAATCTACTCCAGCCATTATGTGAGGAAGCAGCAAGTGATTAATGAGATGAAGATAAGCTGTTTTTGACTTTTGATAGATGTTGGTCAGAAGAACATATATTTAACTACTTTATTCACCAAAACCAAGGGAGGTCATGCTTTGTCCAGTCTTCATCAATCTCTGAGTGTATCAAGTTGCCCAAAAAAATGCATATTTTCTCAGCAAAAAAAGTGTTTGGATCCACATCACAAAGCTGTAGATGGAGAAGATATAATATCTGACCTCTGATAATACCATAGAGTAATGCAAAACATGTTCCCACTTTATATCAATGATTTGGTCTTACCCTTTTAAATCACAATTTGCAATGCAATAAAAAAAAAAGTATATTTTTATTGGGATAAACAGTCATGGTAATACCATGAAAGCTACAGTTAGATACTCTTATGTTGGACTAATGACTGCTGCAAGGGAGAAGAAGAGAGATGGGGCCACTTGTTCATATTCAAGTTTTCTTTGAGCACTGACCTACATATTGAGCTGTAGAACATTATTATGAGTCACAATCAATCAATCCAAGGCTATTCACACACAGTTTAATTAGCTCAACTTAAAACAATTCTACATAATATTGTTTTAATCTTGGATTCCATCGATGTCATTTGCAGTCAGGAAATCTGGATCACCATCATTGACCTTCGTTCCAGTGACCCAATCTTGTCTTTTGAATTCGAGCATTGCATACATTTCATACTTTAAGAGTATGATAGATAGATAGATAGATAGATAGATACAGATTCAGATGTCAGCCGTCCTTCTGCGACGTGAACAGCGTACCTTCCTGCCATTACAATTTGAGCAGAGATAAGAGACAAAGTTTCCCTTTCTTTTATAGATCACTGGCAGGCAAACTTGATGCAGAGAGGGGTGTTAAGATACCTGAGCAACAACAGCAGCAGCGGCACATATAACTTGAACGCAAGCAAACAAAGCAGGGTGTGCAGATTATGTGAGGTAGAGTTCAACCGTGTCATGGAGGTGAACAAAGCATGGGCTGTTTGTCTTCATCCTCTGATCGTATGTCCGAAGGCTGGACTCTTGAGATGTTTGTTTCTTGTGACTGTGTGCCGAGACACAGCAGAAATCAAATGAACAGGCATTCAAACAATGAAGCTCATGTCCTCATTCAGATCCTTTCACCTCTCATGTCATTCGTTGCAGCACAAAGGGAGAACCTTGGCACCTTCCATAGATACTCTCTTCTCCTGGAAGGCAGACTGAGCTCCAAAGTGTGTATAGATCTCGAGGAAGAACTCTGTGTTCCTGCTTTACTTTCTTCCCTATGATGATGGCCTCCTTTCATTCAATATAATATAAGCTGAAGTGCACCATGCAACAAAGATAAAAAAAGGCTGTGCCTTGCGCTTTAGCTTTTAGAGGGCCTTCATCTCCATCTCCTCCACGAATGAAGACCAGCTTTTTGGCAGATATCAATGTGCATGGGATATCAAAGAAAGATAGGGGAGTAGTGTTCCACTCGGCAATCATTCAGCCGATGGCAGAGTATGATTATGATATGATGTTTTCGACACAAAAAGTGGCATTTCAATCTTCCTTTTACTGAGACCATCGATGTGAAACGCTAAATCCCTCTCCCGAACCAAAGTGTCTGCAATCGCAAATTACCTGTGTCTGGTTGAAGCAGTACATAAGTGCTTATTTGCAGATCTCATTAAGTTCATAAAGTGATCTTGCTGTAAGAAAGCCTGTTGATGCCCTCTGAAGCTGTAGGAAGAAGGGCAGCAGCATGGAAGAAGCAAAGAATCCTTACCGTATTCATCAAACTCAAACTATAGAACTCAATGCACATTTACTCACCATCATTCCGTATCTCATCTTTGATGAATCTTTCTGTGCATACGGATTCAGAATGGTCTTTCGGAAAGAAAGAACTTGTTGCCTAAACCACTGGCAATCCATCAACCTGCCTCGGTCATTTAGTGGTGTGTGAACCCCAGTGACAGACCACTCGCTTCTTGCACTGTAATGAAATAAAGGCTCGTATTGTGACCTCTCAGAAAACAGAGTCACCCTTGCTAAGGGACTTGGAAGGGTGAGTCACAAAAGTCTGCAGTAGTAAAAAGGAGATCTAAGAGAGGAATAAGGCTACTTTAGAAAGGCAGAGGGAGAAAGGAGATCATGCACCGATCTGAATCCATACGATACAAGAGCTTTCTTTCCCATGTGGAGTGGGAGGGGATTTAACCCCACATTTTCTCTCCTTTGCTTTTCTAGCCTTCTCTTTAAGATTACATATCCTTGGGGTGGGGAAGGAAGAGGCAAAGAATAAAGCTCACAAAAGCTTCAATGATTCCTTGCCATGATGATTCATCCTCCTCCTGCCAAAACCCCAATTTGAAGTAGGCTTTTTGAAATGATAGTTCAGCCATCATCAACTGCATAGTAATCCATTTGCACTTGCATCTATGTGAGTGAAACCATACAGTGACCACTCAGTTTTGGTGAGATCTTGTGACCCAAGATTGACTTGTAATGGCAGCGTACGGTTCTGAAGTGAGTAGAGCAGGAGGATGCCGGAACCAATGCCTGTGTGTAAACTAGTGATCATCTCATGTAACTAGTTCCATACGAACATGATGTTTCCTGACTCACTTGAGTTGACCATAACTATGAATCTTTGTTGGTCAAAGACAAATCGATGTTGGATCTCTGGTTTTGGAACAGGATCATTCAACATCAAGCTTGTTCTACCTTCGCCAACAGATCCAGAGAGGGCTGGGTGAAGAACATTGAGCATAAAAAGAGGCAATCTGCAGCCAATGCAGTAGTGTTTTTGTCCTGCTAATAGAATTTAAATCAGCTCTCCCATTCCCTCTCTCTCTCTCTCTCTCTCTCCCCTGCTTCTTTTGCTCATCTTAAGTGGCATAAGCAGTGAACCTCTAACCACAGCCATCAGCCACTTCCTACACGCAAATCCATGAGCAGAGCAGCAGGAGAATCAACACATCAGCAAGCATTACTCTCTTGCTGAACATAAAAATAGAAGAGGTACTTATTCCATATCCTCTTCTTCCTTCACTCTGAAGTCTCTCCTTCAAAGATGCCTCTGCTCCCATACCACTACCCTCTGAAGCTTCTCTTATCTCATCTCCTCTCCCTTTCCTAAGCCTTGTATGCTTCTCTGCACACTTAACACTCCATTTCTGTCCTCCATCCTTCGAACTCCAATGACCACAAGACCATGTCCAACTAGAAGATCCGAGAAGAAGAAACCTCAGGAGATGGACCCTGTTCCTCTGTTACTTGTTACCCTGTTAGCTCTTCTAAGTTCTTGCACTTGCACTACGCTTCAGAGTGATGCCTTAGCGTTAGCTTCTATAAGAGAAGGATTCCATGGTTCCACCCCAGAACTAGAGAGCTGGAACACTTCCAATGTGGTCTTCGTCTGCTCGTGGTTCGGAGTCCGGTGCGAGCACGATCGCGTCGTCGGGATCGATATCTCCGACCTCAACATTTCCGGCTCCGTTCCGGTCGAGATCTCTGGCATCGACTCCCTTGTCAACCTCTCCCTATCCGGGAACCATCTCCAAGGTGAGATCACGGTGGCGAACTTGCCTAGTCTCCGATACCTCAACATCTCTTCCAATCAGTTCAACGGCGGGCTCGATTGGAACTACACCAGCCTGCCGAGCTTGGAGGTGTTCGACGCCTACGACAACAACTTCACGGCCTCGTTACCGCTCGGCATCGCAGATTTGAGGAGGCTCAAGTACCTGGACCTCGGTGGCAACTACTTCACTGGAAGAATCCCGGCGACCTATGGAAGCTTAGCTGCTTTAGAGTACCTCTCGCTGAACGGCAATGATCTCCGAGGTCGAATTCCCAGCGAACTGGGCAATCTCACAGGCCTCAAGCAGCTCTACTTGGGCTACTACAATGTGTTCGACGGCGGCATTCCTGTCGAACTCGGGAAGTTGGTCAATCTAGCCCATCTCGACCTGTCGAGCTGCGGCCTCGGCGGCGGAATTCCCCACCAGATCGGCTACTTGACCAACCTCGACACCCTCTTCCTCCACACCAACGAATTATCCGGCCCGCTGCCGCCGTCACTCGGGAACCTCACGAGGCTGGTCTCGCTCGACCTGTCCAACAACGAGCTCACAGGAGAAGTCCCGCAGCAGCTCGCCGCGCTCACCGAGCTGAGCCTCCTCAACCTCTTCATGAACCGGTTGCACGGGCCGGTGCCGGAGTTCGTCGCTGAGCTGCCCAAACTGGACACTCTCCAGCTCTTCATGAACAACTTCACCGGCGGCATACCACAGAAGCTCGGCGCCGGCGGCCACATCAGCGTGCTCGACATTTCGTCGAACAGGTTCACCGGTAAGATCCCCTCAAACCTCTGCCCGTTCAACAGGCTCAAAGTCCTCATCCTCTTGAGGAACTCCTTTTGTGGTCCCATCCCTGAGAGCTTAGGCGAGTGTTTGAGCCTAACCAGAGCGAGGCTCGGTCAGAATTATCTCAATGGAAGCATCCCTTCCGGCCTCCTCTACTTGCCACGGCTCAACCTATTAGAGCTCCAAGCCAACTACCTCTCCGGTCCAATCCCAGAGAACTCTGACCCTGACCAGAGTCCGACCGAGTTGGTCCAACTCAACCTCTCAGATAATTCACTCACTGGACCTCTTCCCTCCTCGATTCGCAACCTATCTTCCGTCCAAACCTTGCTAATTAGCGGCAATCGATTGACCGGTCCGGTCCCCGGTTCGATCGGCTCGTTGCGCCATGTGGTCAAGCTCGACCTTAGCCGCAATGGCCTATCGGGCTCGATCCCGCCGGAGGTCGGAGCTTGCCGCCAGCTCACCTACCTCGATCTGAGCCAGAACAACCTCTCCGGCCCCATCCCGCCGGAGATCGCCGGAATCGGGATACTGAACTATCTGAATCTATCGCGCAATGGATTGAACGGGCCGATTCCGAGGTCGATCGCGGCGATGAGGAGCCTCACCGCCGCCGATTTCTCCTTCAACGACCTCTCCGGCAGGCTGCCGGACTTGGGGGAGTTGGCTTTCTTGAATGCCAGCGCCTTCTCCGGCAACCCCAAGCTGTGCGGGCCGGGTTTCGGCAACCCGTGCGACGACGCGGCGGGCGCGGCCCGGTCTGGGCACTCCCATGGCGATTATAAGCTGATCTTCGCACTGGGGCTTCTGCTGTGCTCGCTCGCGCTCGGGCTCGCGGCAACGGTGCGGGCCCGGTCGCGCCGCGGCGGTACGTGGCGCCTCACCGCGTTCCACGAGGTGGATTTCGGCGCGTCGGATGTGCTGGGGTGCATGAAGGACGCTAACGTGGTGGGGCGTGGCGGTGCCGGGGTGGTGTACCGGGGAAGGACCCGCTCCGGCGGCGCGATCGCGGTGAAGCGGTTGGCGGCGCTGGGATCGGACGGCGGGTTCGGCGCCGAGATCCGGACGCTGGGGAGCGTCCGCCACCGGAACATCGTCCGGCTGCTCGCCGTCTGCTCCGACTCTGCCACCAACGTGCTGGTGTACGAGTACATGACCAACGGGAGCTTGGGGGAGGCGCTGCACGGGAAGGGCGGCGGGCACCTGAGCTGGGGCCGTCGGTACAGGATAGCGGTGGCAGCGGCCAGGGGCTTATGTTACCTCCACCACGACTGCAGTCCGATGATAGTGCACCGCGACGTGAAGTCCAGCAACATCCTGCTCGACGCGAAGTTTGAGGCACACGTGGCGGATTTCGGGCTAGCCAGATTCTTGCAGGACGACAATGGTGGGTCCGAGTGCATGTCTGCCATCGCTGGGTCCTACGGATACATCGCCCCGGGTACGTTGCACGGTTTCATTTGCTCCTGCTTCCTGCATCGTTTACAACAGTTACATTATAAAGATTGGATGTATATTGGATTAGAACCGTAGTTAGATTCTCTCCGATCAAACATGAGTTGAAGTCTAAATAGTCAACTCAGACGCCCCATAAAGACAAGTCAGGAAACACCAGCAGTCACTGTCAGCGATCGTACCATCGCAAATGGAAGTCCAAGTCATTGGCATGGGGAGGGCGACGGAGACGGCAGCTCGGCTCGATAAAGCAGCTCAACAGTAGCAGACTAGGGTTTCGTGAAAGTGAAGCCCTCAGATCACCAACCCAACTCCTCCATGTCTTTGCCAAGCATGTGCTGCGCACCATCTCGGTGCCAAGATACCAAAGATTCTCGCCCTCTTCTTACCTTGGGACTGCTGAGGCTGTTGCCACCCACTTCATCCCTGTCTCCGAACATGATGCTGGTGTTATTGACATTGAGCCCTTACATGGCGATTCTGTGTGCAGAGTATGCCTACACTCTCAAGGTGGACGAGAAAAGCGATGTCTACAGCTTCGGGGTGGTGCTCCTGGAGCTCATCACCGGCCGGCGCCCGGTCGGGGACTTTGGGGACGGCGTCGACATAGTTCAGTGGGTCAAGAGGGCCACCGCCTGCAGAAGAGAGAACGCCGCAAGCATCGTGGACTGCAGGCTGAGCAGTGTGCCGACGGATGAAGTCATGCATGTCTTCTTCGTCTCGATGCTGTGCGTCCAAGAGAACAGCGTGGAGAGGCCAACCATGAGGGAGGTGGTGCAGATGCTCTCCGAGTTCCCTCACCACGTTACGGACGACCAATGTCCACTCCCATCATCTCCTCCTCCTCCTCCTCCTGGAGAAGACGGGAGCGGAGCCGACAAGGAGGCCACAAGCTACGAGCTCTGTCCTGATCTCTTGACCCAATGCAAGCTATTTCCTCAGAATTGAATGGAATTTGGCAAGGAAAGGCTTGGAATAACGGTGCTTTTTTCCCAGTTCAACATGTGTACAGGGTTTTGCTGGATGCAGAGTAAGCATGACAGCATCGTCACGCAGCTCTATTCGGGTCCATGTACAATACAGTCTTCCATGATAGCATTTGGCTTTTGTAATCCCTTCCTGATCTCTGCCTATCGACTCCTGTCAAATCCCTTCAATCATTCATAAGCATTAGTGTCGCTTTCCTACGTGAGTTGCCTTGCCATCATTTGACGATGACAGCCGACGGACATTCGATGGGCTCTCCTCTTTCCCTGTGTTAGTGTAAATAATTTTGTGTCGTGCTCTCCGGGCCGATGCGGTTTGTTTCGGGATCGAATGATGGGGGTCTTTGCTCGAGGTTTCTCGAGGTTGCTGAAGTGACCGACCGTGCAGATCAGATCACGTCTGGACCGATCGGGATGTCGCGTGGGGAAGGCTTCCTCTCCTTGGCATCCCGGGGGGATAGCTTCGTCTTTTTACCTGCACACAGGTCGGGTTGGTAGCTCGGCCCGACCCCTCCGACGATCAAGTTAGTGATGTGGAATAGAGTGGTTCCGTCTTTTTCTTTCTTCCCCCTCCACCCTTCTCAGGGGTGGGGTTTTTATAGGGCGATTTACCATATCCGATGCGACCGCTTGCAAGGAGCGGGTTGTGTCTGACACGGGTGTTGGCGTGGCGTGAAGAACAGAGTCTGAACAGGTCGTTAATGGGCCTCGGTCCGCGTTCTTGTTCGTTTGACCAGGTTCTGCCGGGTCGTTTGAGGTGTGAGGTGTCGTCCGAGACAACTGACGTCTGCGCGAGTCTTGTCGCCATTTATTATCCTCATCATATTCCCCCGCCGAAGGAAGTCATGCCATAAATGGGGGGGTCCGAGGCATGGCTTCGTCTTTGAGAAACCGTCCCTGACGGGCGCCTTGCCGGGGGTGTAGGAATCGTGGAGTTTAGCAACTAAGAAGGGTCGGATGTGCAGCGGTGACCCGGGTAGCATGCGGCCGAGGAGCACACTCAGTAGAGCAGGCCGAGCGGAGGCTGTGGTCTCGGGGAGCATGGAGTCTAGGAGCATGACGCAGGCGGCCAGGCCGCGTAGGCGTGGTCTCGAACAACATGCAGTCGAGGAGCACGGAGCCGAGGAGCACGACATAGGCGGGCAGGCTGCGCAGGTGTGGTCTCGGGCAAATGCAGCCGAGGAGCACGACGCAGGCGGGCGGGCCGCGCAGGTGTGGTCTCGGGCAACAAGCAGTCGAGGAGCACGACGCAGGCGGGCGGGCCGCGCAGGTGTGGTCTCGAGCAACATGCAGCCGAGGAGCACGACGCAGGCGGGCGACCGCGCAAGTGTGGTCTCGGGCAACATGCAGCCAAGGAGCACGACGCAGGCGGGCAGGTGTGGTCTCGGGCAACATGCAGCCGAGGAGCACGACGCAAGCGGTCAGGCCGCGCAGGTGTGGTCTTGGGCAACATGCACCCGAGGAACACGATGCAGGCGGGCGGCCGCACAGGTGTGGTCTTGGGCAACATGCAGCTGAGGAGCACGACGTAGGCGGGCAGGCCGCACAGGTGTGGTCTCGGGCAACATGCAGCCGAGGAGCACGACGTAGGCGGGCTGGCCCAAGGAGCTATTTGTGCTATCGTCCCTCCCTGCCCACTTAATAGTGGCGGGGGCCGAAAACTTCTGTGCCTGATTTCCTCTTTGAGGGGGAGCTGGTTGCTTTTGCCGCACGCTTTTAGACGTCGAGATCGAGGCGTCAGGGCTCTGCCGCTTCGTTGCTCCGGAATCGCCACGTCAGGCCTTCATTATGGCGGGGCGTCCTTCAGCATTCCTGATGTGATGTGACGGTTACGCACATTCGTGAGTGGGCTGTCGCCCATTCTCGGGAGGTGAAGGGCGCTGGTTCTGGCGGGATATCTCCCTTAAATAGCGAGCGTCCGGCTTCGTTCCTATCTCTCGCTGCTGAGGCCTCTTCTTCAGGTCTTGCCGTCTTCTTTCCAATCGTCCTCCTCGCCTCCTACGTCGCCTTATTTTTCCCAGTAGTTCCTCCCCGTTAAGGTCAGTGAGGATGATGTCCTCTCCTCCCTCTTCTTCTTCCTCTTCCCACGGAGCTAGGGAGAGATGTCCTCCACTGTCCCCCGTTCAATCCTCCAATGGGGAAGCGGTGCGGGCCCTCGAGGCCTTGATGTGGCCGCACGACCTGGATTCCACCGTGAGCGGGTCATCGCTGAGGGGACTCCGAGAACTCTATAGCATCCCAGAGGACTATATCCTCAGCATGCCCGAACCGGGACAACAGGCTTATGACCCGGTCCCGAAGGGTTTTGCGCTAACCCTAGATGCCCTGGAAGCGGGGCTGCGCCTTCCCTTGCATCCACTCATTGTGTCCTACATTTCTTTCTGGCGGATTTCGCCGTCCCAGGTGGCACCGAACTCCTGGCGCTATCTAGTGGTGTTCCTGGGGGAATGCCACTATGCCAATATCACCCCCACCCTCAACCTATTCCTTTCGTGTTACCGTCTTTCCAAGGGGTCGGGGGGTTATTTTCTATCTGCCCGGGCGGGTTTTCGAGTCGGGGGGCCCCCTTCCAACAACAAAGGGTGGAAGGGGAGGTTTTTTTACGTCAGCTGTGTAAGGGACTGGGGTTTCGGAGTTCGGTGGTCCGCGAGGGCGATCGACAACACCGTCCCGAGCCTGAGCGAAGAAGAGCGCCGGGATCTGGGGAGACTTAAAGAGGTTCTCCCTAATTCCTAGGCCATCCGAAACATGACCGAGCGATGGCTGGTCGAGGCGGGTCTCAGTCCGACGCCTCTGGGTACGTCAATAGCGCTTGGTTCGGACATTGCATGGCTTAATCTTAGTACTAACACATTCCCTGTTTCTTGTAGAGACGATGAACCTTCGATCGCTTCTAGGTGGTCGGGCATCGCAGACTCCTCCTCCAACACCGTCAGCCGACCCGAAGCCCTGTTCGAAGGACGCCCCATTGGACGTCGAGGTCGGGTGCCCCCGGAAGAAGGTGGAGATAGCACCCCCCAAGGGGGTTGAAGCGGGTCCTCGTCGAGGCGAGGCCGGACCCAATCGGCAGGCGGCAGGGAAGGACCTGCGCCCTCCCTTTGTGCGGGACCTATGCCGACTACCCGTAGGGGACGGGGAGCCGTTTCTGACGTGGTTGGTGGGCGAGATCCCGGTTGGGGAGGCAAGCGACCCCCTGGTCGCCCGCTGGGGGGGCCTTTCCTAGGGGGACAAGGTGTGGGCCGGAGGGGAATCCTCCGCGACATTCCTCCGGGGCGCTCTTCATCCCGACATGACTCGGGATTTATACACCCTGCATTCTGAGGCTCTGCTTGGCAAGTCTGCCAAGTCTCTAACCTGGGTAAGTGCTACGCCTGCCACCTTGGGTTACTCATCCGACGATGTTCTTCCTAACCTGTCTTCCCTCTTACAGGGCCTTCATTACGCGATGACCCTGATGGACCGGGTGCGTGATGCCGACCGGGTCATCGGGGGCCTCATCAGCCGCAACTCCGAGCTCTGCCGCCAGGTCGAGGAGGCACGAGCCGGGGCCAGCCCGGAAGCCGTGGCGGCCACCGAGAAGCACGCGGCGGACTCAGAGGCGGAGGCGGCTCGCCTCAGGTCGGAGCTCGAGACATCCGGGAACTCGAATAAGGAGCTCCAAAAAATTCTCCGGGTCGAGCGGACCGAGTTCCGTCTGTCGAAGGCGGAGGCGAGCACCCTCAGCCAGAAGCTGGAGGGGGCGAAGGCCGAGGCGAGAGCGGCCTCAAAAGTGCTGGCGGAGGAGGCACGTCTTTGACTCGTCAAGGATAAGGAGCTCATCGCGGCGTATAAGAAGTCCGAGGGGTTCAAACTTGGGCTGACGCGGACGGGATGGGTGTCCTTAGAATATGGATACCGAATTGCAACGTCTGGCTTCCGCGCGCGCCACCCCGGCCTGGAGGTAGAGGAGGACCCCTTCACTCCCCACCCGGAGGATCTGGAGGTGGACATGCTCGAGGACGTCCCCTTCGACGACCGCCTGGACGCCCCATAGCAATAAGAGGGTCCTGTATTTTTATGTTTTTTTTTTGTTGTCGGTCGGTCTGTAAGTCGGGGTCGAGTCCTGTAATGTTAACTTTTCTCAAATAAAAGAACATTTTCTCATGTTGCCAGTCTTCTGTTCTCTTACACGTAGAATTTCTTAAGGTTTTGGATGTTCCATGTCCTTGGTAGAGGACAGCCATCCATCGTGGCGAGCCGGTACGTGCCCGGTCGAACGATCCTGATGATTCGATAGGGTCCTTCCCATCTAGGGGAGAGTTTACCGTGTGCTCGGGTCAGGTTACTCACCTCGGCCCTACGCAGCACCAGATCCTCCAGCCTAATAGGTCGGGGACGTACCTTCCTGTTGTAAATCCTGGCGACGGCTCTCTTATATGAGAGGGCCTTCAGGTGCGCGTTGGCTCGCTTCTCCTCGAGCAAGTCCAGTCTGGCTTGGAGTCCCTCAGCCAACACCCCTTCGTCATAGGACTCCATTCGGGAGGTGGTTATCTCCACTTCAGCGGGCAAGACGGTCTCGGCGCTGAACGCTAGGCTGTATGGGGATTCCCCGTTTGCAGTTTTAGGTGTGGTCCGCAAAGACAATAAGACGCTCGGGAGTTCATCGACCCAAGCCGAACGGGCTGCGAGAGTCCTTCTCCGGAGACCGCCCAGGACGGCACGGTTGGTTACCTCGGCCAGCCCATTCATTTGAGGGTGTGCGACCGAGCTGAACCTCAGTTGTATCCCATAGTTTGCGTAGAATTCTTTGAACCGAGCACTGGCGAATTGCATCCCATTGTCCGTTATGATGACCCTGGGCAGGCCGAACCGGGTGACGATGTTCTTCCACACGAATCCCTCCACATGACGCTCTATGATTGCCGCCAATGGTTCGGCCTCGACCCATTTGGTGAAGTAGTCGATCCTAACGATAATAAATCTTCGCTGCCTCGAAACTGGGTGTAAGGGGCCGAGAAGGTCCATTCCCCACTTTGCGAAGGGCCACGCGCAGTCCACGGGCGTAAGCGGCGTGGGCGCGTGCCTCTGGCATGTGCCGCACTTTTGCACATACAACTTTGCGTCTCGGCACATGGTGGGCCAGTAGTAT